AGGGGACAGATTATTGGATAATGTTTTCTTACTAGGTACAGTATCAGTGAATAAAGATTTTGATCATCCAGAAAGACCAAGGATCCGTACTCCTGACTGTTTTGCTAAGTAATTAATAAACATTATGGGAACCACCTAGTATCTCCTTATCCTTACTGTGAGAGTTGCTTTTATGTGTCGACTTGACTAGATAAAGGATGCAGATAGCTGGTCAGACATTATTTCTGGGTGTGCCTGTGAGGGTGTTTCTGGAAGAGATGCGGGTTTGAATCAATGGACTGAGTAAGAAGGTCCGCCATCACCAGTGTGACTGGACACCATCCAATCTGCTGAGGGTCCAAATAGAACCGAAAGGTAGAAGAAGGGAAAATCCTCTCTCTCTCTCTCTCTCTCTCTCTCTCTCTCTCTCTCTCTCTCTCTCTCTCTCTCTCTCTCTCTCTCTCCCCGCTCTTCTCCTGCCTGCAGACACCAGCACTCCTGGTTTTCAGGCCTGAGGACTCAGATTTGAACCTATACTGTTGGGTTTCTTGATTCTCAGGCCTTCAGGTTTGGGCTGAATCCACCACTGGCTTTCTTGGGCTCTAGGGTGCTGATGGCAGACTGTGGGACCTGTCAGCCTCCACAATTCCTTGAGCCAATTCCCACAATCAGTCTCTTTTATCTGTATCAAAACAGAGATGTCTCTCTCTTTCTCTCTATCTTATTATTCTGTTTCTCTGGAGAATGCTAATACACAGTTCCTGAAAAGACTGTTGAAACAGCAGCATCACCACCAAGGGAACACAGAGCCTCCTGTGTCATGAGAGGCCTGAGAGGCATGATGGACATGCCCGAGTCTCCTCCACAGGGTTCTTGTTGGGAGGTGGCCCAACCCATGCTTGGCCACATTCAGAAAAAGGAAATACATCCTCCCAAAGGGAGGCCCATTCCACTGCTGGAGAATTTAGCCTGCTGACAGGTTCTTGCTTATGTGATTTTGACCAATTCCTTTTCCAAGTCTATCCCTTTTGTTCTAGTCCATTCTCTTAGAGGAACATGGAGCCAGAACAATGACTCTTACCAAGGCCAACTCTTTATTAGGCACCAGGCAGCCAAGGTGACAAAGGACATAGTATCCTCATCCTCCAGACAGTGATAGCTGAGAGGAGAGTGGGAGAAAACCACAAGCCCCCCAAGGTTAGTGTTTTAGTGACTAGTAGAGCACCTGACAAAAAGTATCCTCTTCAGATGGTTTTGAGAGGCCTGGGAAACACAAGAACGACATTACCCTTCTCTGATTACTCTTCTGTCCTGTTGTCAAACTCTGGGCTTCATCAGTGAAAACGCGCCTCACCTTGGTGGCAACACCAGCTAAGCTCCTGCTTCTTGCCCTCCCAGCTGGCTTATGGCATCAAGCCCCACAGGATGAGTGCTCCATCCTGACTGCCACGTCTACACTGTGTCTGTGCAGTGTCTGTTAGGCTCCATCTGCCATGACCCGACGATGGCCAGCCTGGCCTGGGCAGAGCTCCGAGGGGCATGTGAATGCTTGAACACGTGTACAATGCAATCCAAACCATGGAGTCAGTGCTTCTGGGATGCTCAGCCCACAAGGCGAGGGGCACCAGGAAGTGGCATCTGCTCTGTGTAAACTCAGTCTGGCCAGGGAGATAACACAGACATGCAAGGAACTGCAAGACAACTGTGGTAAGTGACAGAGAAGCTGCCAATTGGCCCTTGAGCTGGGAGGGAGAGTGATGTGCAGTGTCAGTGTGTTGTCCCAGGAGTCCTTGGCATGGCTGAGGAGCTTCACACCTGAAGGACGGCTGGTAAGACCACTGGCACATCCCTCATTAGGCACCATGTGTCAGAAGCCTTGCTAGTGTATCGAGGAATACTCAGGCTTCCTGGAGGATTCATTCATGCACAGTTGCTGATAGGAAGCTGACCAAGTGCTAGAGGGGGCTGCCCCAGTGCCCCAGGCAATCCAGGTCCCTGCTGTCTAATTGGGTGGATGGAATACATAAATATGAAATAAATGAATATATAGGGTGTGCAAGACGGGGTGGGCAGGGAAGGGCTCATGCAGCAGGGTGAGACCGGCTGGTGGCAAATGGATGGCACAGTCTGTGGTCAGGTGAGCAGGAGTGATGGGTGGACTCCACGTGGGACACCAGGAAAGGGGCACTAGGAGAAGTGGGGAGCAGCAGGGTCCAGGCCCTCCACCTTTGTGACCTTAAGGAGTTCAGTGCATTCTGCATTGGTGACCACCTAGTTAGGGTGGCCAGAGTGAGCAAATAAAACACAAGATGCCTAGTTAAATTTGAATTTTAGATAAACAGTAAATAGTTTCTTAGTATGTACTACAGAAAGGAAAGTATTAAAATTCTCTGTTGTGGAAGCAAATATAAAACTAGATAGAAGAGGCCAGGTATGGTGGCTCATGCTTGTAATCCCAACATTTGGGAAATTGAGGTGGGAGGATTGTTGGAGTCTAGGAGTTTGAGAGCAGCCTGGGCAACACAGTGAGACCCCATACCTGGTGTGGTGGCATGCTCCTGTAGTCCCAGCTACTCAGGAGGCTGAGTCAGGAGGATTGTTTGAGCTCAGGAGGTGGAGGCTGCAGTGAGCTGTGATCATGCCACTGCACTCTAGCCCGGGTGGCAAAGCGAGACCCTGTCTCAAAAAAAAAAAGAAAAAAAAGTCACAGTTACCATTGCTAGTGGGAAGAGACAGGGAGAAAACTCCAGGTTGGCTGACCTCCCCTCAGCTTTGCCAAGAGACCAGTTTATGCCATGGCCAGTGATGGACCCAGCCCAAGGTACAGACAGGTGATTGGGGTTGGGGAGAGTGTGGATGACCAAGTCTGGTTCTTCCTGCAGGACCCACTACAGAAATGAACAGTGGGGGACTCCAGTCCTCACCCTGGAGCCAAGATGATGAGGTGACAGAGTGTCATAACAGCTGTTCAGAGCCAGGACCCAGGGATCAAGCTGAGCTGCACACCAACTGGGTACTGCGGGCAAGCAATAATATAATCCCTTCTTATATCCAGGGCAGATAAGAGAAGGACTTAACTCCTAAGGCTGTTGTGAGGATTAAATTAGTTAATGGAGGGAAAGGTATTAGTTAAATTCCTGGCCCACAGTATTTTATTTTAATTCCTAAGAAAATATGGTATCTGTGTGTTTGCTTCGTCGACCAGACTGTATTGCAGATGACTTAAGACCAGGCAGCAAATTTGAGGTGGAGCCATGGTTATCAGAATGGCTGCCCAGACCGCAAAGCTGATTTATCTCAATCATAACAGCAGCAAATTCCTGTTATTGTAATGAATCACAGCATGCATGTGCACAGATGCAGGCGCGGGGGTTCAGAGGGCCGGGCTGTGCGGGGAGCGTAACGAAAAGCAGACCCTCGCATGGCTCTAACACTGTGGAGCAGCCGAACCTGCAGCTTACACAGAAAGGCCGTAATGAAATCCAGTTTCAAAATGGAATATTTTTCCTAAATGATAAGGTATTGCATATGGTTCTTTTCCCATTGTGCAGTAATTCCTTCCAAAGCAAACATTTTAAAGATTTTAACTGAGGTTGGAAAACTAAAACTTGCCTCAGTATAAAAATGTCGAAGCCATCTGCTAGAAAATCATAGCTCTGCAATATAAAACACGCAGAGCTGTGTTGCTCGAACTGATTTAATCATAAAATGCCATTTCCTCCATCTGAAGGGAAACATTTCTACTTGGCCACTAGAGCTTTCTGGAGAAAGGCATTTATATTTGCATTATGGTATATTAGTAATTTTGTATTTCAAGGAGAAAACAGAGCAGGGATTTTGGAAAACAAATGTTGAAAGGGTAATTTCAATTCTTTGCAGATGATTTTGATAGAAAAGTTTTTGTTAAAACAACTGATGGAAACTGAGAAACATGGCCATCAGTTTGAAGGAAAATAATTGAGTTGTACTGTTTGCATTTTACTTTGCACACATTGAACAATTAAAAGCTTTTATGTAGTATGAGAACAAAACCCCCAGAACACCAGTGCAATGGCAGAAAGTTGGGAGTCAAATCAGGCAGCACACAAACAAACACTGCATTCATATGATGAAGACCACATTTCTGAGAAGTTTCCTGAAAAGATCTGTGTGTGTGTGTGCATGTGTGTGTATGTATATATATACGTGTATATATACATATACATATACATATACATATACATATACATATACATATACATATACATATACATATATATATTCTTCTTTTTTTCTGCCAGAATCTTTTGTAGAATGATCTTCAAGTTAGTTTTGGGACATAGGTTCCAATATTGCTCCATTAATTGGCATAGGTTGACTGTATCTTATTCAAATATTAATTGACAGCTGTTTTCTTAGATATTTTTGCACAAAATAGTGTTCAGTGAACAAGTAGGGTTTTAAACATGACACTGCCCTGTATTTGAGAAAGTTTATGTTATATATGTGCCTGTTAATTTAGTAGTTATGAGTTTAATGCTAACTTTGAGCTCTTTAGACACAGATCCTCAAATATATTAACAAAATCAGCTGTGTGCCTTAACCAACAATGAGCATATATTTTTTTAAATGGGCCTCTGAATTGAACGTTTAAAAAAACCCTTCAGCATCCTATTAGGTACTGATTAACCTGCAGGAGGGTAATCCTAGTAAGCAAATGTAATCAAGATTCTCCTTCCGCAGTGATGCCAAGGGCAGCCTGGCTCTCCTGGTCCAGTGCTTCCTTTACTCAAATATTCTCTAATGTGTTCCTAGATCCTAATACCTCTCTCTGCATCAAACTGCATATGTATTCTGAGTACCAGGGCTCAGAACTTGGAGCTGGGATTTTGTTGACGTGCTCTTTTCTCTGATTGTCACCTACCATTTCTTCTTTGGTTTGCCTTTCATTTTAAGGCCAGATTTCTAAGTGTAAGAAAGGAGGGTGGAGAGTGGGCAGAAGTCATTGTTTCCATCTTGAAAGTCAACATCAGTATTTCCTGTGCTGGGGACCAACCAGTGCCTCATATTTCTGGAAACGCTGCAGCATTCTACTTCAATTTTAATCTGGATAACACCAAAGCTTTTCCTTAAATTCACCACTGGAGTTAGCTCATAGATGCACTGATTTTGTATATCATCTCTCCTCCTTAATATCTCTCACACAGGTGCCATTGACCTTTAGATGGGCTGCACAGTGTGGGGTCCAGTGCCATGGATCTACTTCTCCAGGGACCAGGATCTTGAGATCTTCAGGCTGGGTTTCCATGGAAGCATGGAGCTGCTTTTCCTCCTGCGTAACTGCACTCAAAACAGCCCGGTTTCTCTAGAATGGAGACTTGGGCAACTCCTTCTGGTACAGACTTGCTCACCTCAGGGAAATGCAAATGGAAGCAAGCTGTAGGCAGTTTCACCCCAAGTCCATGGGTTCTCAGCTGGCTAACCCATGATGTCAATCCTGTAGCAATCTAAGGCTTGAGAAAAATTAATCTCTGGAAAATTCCAAGACTACATCTTAGGGAGCCTGGCTTTATCTCTATGTCTTGGATCATACAAGGATATGCTTCTAATTTCGGACTAGAACTCAAAGAGTATTGGCCAATGAATGTGTTTCCTAGAACTATCCCAGTGTGTTCACCATACAGAGGAAGATTCTGAGATTCAAGACTCAAGACTGAAGAAAATCGTTATTTTTATTGTTTTAGTCTTATGCACAAAATGGTACCAACGAATAAGCAGGTTTTTAGTGGGTGACTTATATATAAGCAAAAATAAACACTTTATCTTCTAGATCTATTGCAGTTTTCCAGCAGCTGTAGATTTAAGTGCAAACTTTTAGCCCACAGGATAAGAAGAAAGCAAGTCCTGAACGTAGGCCGGCACCAGGATTCAAGCCTCTGACTCCAAGGCAAGGGCTCATCATCTTGAATCGTGCATGAATTTTCACATAGCGCCAGAGGAAACTCCTTGTACTTTCTGTTGTAGGTAAGACTAACCTTTGCTTATTTTTACTTCTTGTGAATAAATAGCTGCAAGAAGAACTGCTGGAACAAAGAGCCTTAATGAGCTCTTTGCTAGATATAAATAGAGAGTGTGAACCAGCAGTGTGGCAGAAGAACGGTTTCCCTGAACTGTCCGCCGTGGGGAGACTATGTGATGTTCTTCAGTGCACTCATCTTGTCAATAATGTGTACATCTTGATGTGCTTTCTAAATATGTGCTGACTTTATTACAAGTGAACCTGTTCTCTTGTTTTTTCCCTAATACATATTCACTATCTTTACACCTTTTCTTTCCCCTCCCACAAACCTTCTGCTCATATCTATTGCCCTTTTGGAAGCAATAGTCTATTTTTTCTTAGAGATTTATGAGATTTTAAATGTAATGATAATGTTAAGATTTTTTGACAGGTACTTTATATTTTCCCAGTTCATTATGTGTATTTAAATATTTCACTACTATCTTACAACATACATCTTTTCTTAAATTTTCCGTGGTTTTATCTCTTAGCCATTGTACTTTTGGTTTCTGAGGTATATTCCTGGGGAATCTCTCACTGTGTTGAAGACCCTTCAGTCCCTCTAAACTGGTAACTTTAGTTCCTGCAACGAGAAAGCTTTTCAAAGGGACAGTGTGACCATTTCCATATAAAGTACAATGTTGCTTTGGGGTTTAAGATTCTGTTCCTAGGCGTCATCACTTCTTTTTAAATTTAACTTTGTTATGGAAAATATTAAGCATATGTAGAACAAATCATATAATGAAACCTCACTTATTCATTTCCTATTTTTAATAATGATCAGCACTTAGCTATTCTTATTTCATCTACCTGTTTACTCTGTTTTTTCTTCCTGGAGTATTTTAAAGCAAATTCTAGATATCATATTTTGTTCATGAATACTTCAGTATATATCTTTCGCAGAAAATGATTCTTGAAAAACATAACCATTATATTTTTTTCGCATCAAATACAATAATCACTCATACTTTAGTAAGTATTCACATAAAAATTCACATCCAAATCGTTCTTTTATGAATGCAGACTTTGCCAATGTTTTCTCCCGATCTTTAGGCTGTTTGTTCACCTTGTTGCCTGTATCTTTGACTGTGCAGAAGCTTTTTAGTTTAATAAAATCCCATTTGTTTATTTTTGTTGCATTTGCTTTTAAGTCCTAAGTCATAACTTCTTTGCCCAAACAAATGTCCAGAGTAGTTTTTCCTTGGTTTTCTTTTAGAATTTTTATAGTTTCTGTGCCTACTTTTAAATTTTTAATCCATTTTTAAGTTGATTTTTGTATATGGTGACAGATATGGGCCCAGTTTTATTCTTGTTCACCAACAGATGATTAAAGAAAATATGGTGTGTATATATATATATATGTGTGTGTGTGTGTGTGTGTGTGTGTGTGTGTGTATGTATCATATTGGTATTGGTATATATATATATATATATATATATATACACACACACACATACCATAAAATATGTGCATATTTTACAACATAAAATATGGTATGTGTGCATATGTATGTAATATGGTGCATGTATATATATATAGGCACACACACACATATATGTACACACACACACACTCCCTGGAATACTACTTAGCCATAAAAAAGAATGAAATCATATCTTTTGCAGTAACATGTACAGAACTGGAGGCCATTATCTCAAGTGAAACAACCCAGAAACAGGAAGTCAAATACTGTGTGTTCTAATTTATAAGTGGAAGCTAAATAATGTGTCCACATGGACGTAGAATGTGTAATAACAGACACTGGAGACTCAGAAAGTGGGAGGGTGGGTGGGAGTGCAAGGGGGGATGAGAAATTACCTAATGGGACAATGTCTACTAATCAGGTGATGATTACACCAAAAGCCCAGACCTCACCACTATGAAATCTATCCATGTAACAAAACTGCACTTGTAACCCCTAAATCTATAAAAATAAAATGGAAAAAGATACAGAATGGAATAGTATACTGCAGTCATAATAAATGATCTCAGCTAAAGATCAAAATCGTTGTTCTTTTGCAGGTGCTTTGCTGGATTCGGGATGCAGACAAGGTCCACACACTGTGGTTGGGTGACGTGTCTCTTAGGTCTCTTTTAATCTGTAATACCTCTTCCTCTCTTTATAGAATGCATTTACTTGTTGAAAAACTTGGTCACGGGTCATTTTTCTGTAGAGTGGATTATGTTCTGGATGTAGCCAAATGCCCTCTTGTCAAAGATTTATCTTCCATGCTTCCTGCAGGTGGTTATATCCTCCAAGGATTGATTAAACTCAGGTATTTTTTTTTTTTTGGCAAAATCACTTCATATGAATGCTGTGCATTTCCTGTTGCACCTTCATCACATCAGGAAGAAACGATACCTAGACTTCCTGCTTTTAATGCTGTTAAGATTGATGAGTTAGGTGTCATGGACCTCGGAGTTACTAATCGTCTACATTTCTATTGGCAATTTCCTCCAGAATTCAGAAATTGGTGGTGAGCATGATGGTTGGGAGTGCTGGGTTGGAGTCAGACAGCTTCTGTTTGAGTAACAGTTCTGAAAGTCACTTGTCATTGCCACAGCTAGGTCGCTCAAGCCCTCAGACCTTTCAGGCCTGACTCAGCTTTAGGAGTGGATACTCCACTTTTGAGTGGGACTACTGTTTGAGTGGGTTGAGTTCTGTGAGCTGGGCTTTGGCCCAGGTGCAGAAGAGTGGTAGCTGTAGTTTAGTGGCATTGGTTTCAAGCAGATGGAATTTGTTTAGATGACCTTAAAGGTCTTTCCAAATCTGATGTCCTAGGATGAATTATCAGAAGGCCTATAGTTTGGTTACCACATATTAAAGGTAAATCTGAGGGTAGGAGCACTCATCATTCAGTTGTAATAGCTGAATAGAGATGATAATTCTGCCAGATTTGGGTCCTGTGGGCCGAGTTGAGAGGTCTGTAAATTCACATTCACTCTTCAAGTCCTGGTTTATAGCAGCCTGCCAAGTATGTCACTAAGATGAAGACAGACGATAATGACTACATTTTGGTAATTCATTTACTTTACTGAAATCGGTGCTCAGTCATGTTACAGGCAAGACTCCATCTGGTTCCCATCAATGATGGAGGGAGCACCGTGTCTGGACAGAGGGCCTGCATCTTCGTCTATGCAGAAAAGCTGCATGGATTATCCAGCAAATCACGGTATAGACCACCAGCTGGGCCAGTCCAGGTCCAAGCCAGCCGGGTGACTCTCTCCTGCTGTTCATTCACTTCTTCGTTTGACAAGTACTATGGACACCTGCTGTGTGCCAGGCACTGCTGAGGTGCCTGTGGGGAGATCAGGAGCTGATGCATATTCCAACTGAGGGGTGGCAGTGTAACCAACAATGGACATAATCCCCAGATCATAGAGCAAGACACGGGTGATGCAAAAATGGCAAAGAAAGCTTTGTGCACACTAAGAGGTTTCTTGTTTCCTGAGAAGGATATGGATTGCAGTCTAAGGTAGGATGGAAGTTGGTCCGAGATGTGAGCCTGGCTGACAAGATCAGGCAGGAAATGTCTTCTTCAGATCCCACCTGCTCAGTAGACCACCTGCTCGGCACTGATCTGGGCCTTAGTGTAACTACCGAGCACAAGATGACCATTGCCACTTGGCATTGCTCTCCTGGACGCCTGGATCATGGTGCTGCCCGTCCCTCTGCTGCCTCCTCTCTGTGTCCTCTCAGTGGTCTTGAGCCCCATTCCCTCCAGGGTTGTCTTCAGGCCATGACTTGCATGTTGGCTCTCTCTGGGGCTCACGGTGCTTCATTCATTCCTAAAGGTGCTTTCTCCTCCTTACCCTGGTGTAGACTAAAAGGTTTCCTGATCCCATTGCTTTGCCAGGACAATATTGCTTCCCAGGGAAGACGCTCCTGGCACATTTTAGGCACTTCTGGAAGAACACCATGTCGTCATCATCATCACCATCATCATCAGATCTCCCCCAAGCCCCATCTGGGAGGGTTGCGTGGGAGCCACACGTGGACTTAGGGAGCTCTCCCGAGCCTGCACTGATGGCTGGCCCAGCCCAGGCTTTTGTTTGCCACAGGAAGACAGCTTTGTGCAAACCCTTGTTTAACCTGGCCTTCCCTCTTTAGAAAGAGAATGTTCACTAGATGAATCATGCCTAATGTGTTCACTGGAGCCAGAGGACTTTGGCTCCCAGGCTGTTTACTTCAGCCCAGACTTTGTCCCGTAAGTGTTCTTAGGAAATGACAATGAACAGAAAATTGTCATTGTTTTTGCTGAAAAAAAAAAAAAAAGTTGAATAGTTTCCCTGGCCCAGGCTGGCTGGTAGCAACCTTGGCCCCAGCATGCTCTTCAGCCCCCTACTCTCCCCAGCAGGGCCACTGTGCCCTCGTCTGTCCACCCTATTCTGTGACCAGGTGCCCTGGTGCGCCCTTGCCCAGGGGCTTTCTGTGCACAAGATAACGCATGGTTTGGGTTGATGTCTGATGGGCTCACATGGGCAAGGCTGTGCTGCAGCTGTGCTGGGGGCCTGGTGCTCATGTGGGGCCCTCACCTGGTTTTGCTGTTGACTTCCTCCCACCACTGCCTACCTTGGGTGGGAGGGCACCTGGCCTTCAGGCAGGGAGGACTTGGAGAAGCAGAGGTGCTGCAGTCAGGATCTGTATTTGAGTTTTGGCAGCCTGGATGAAATCCTGCCTCTGTCACCTGCCAGCTGTGTGTGAGTGGCCAGGTCCCTTGACCCATGCTGAGTTACCATGCTCTTTTGGCCTATTTCCCGCTTGTGACATTAGAAGCAATCTCTAAGACATCATGGAGTGGACATTGAGCTTGCCCTCCCGCCTGCACAGAAAGCAGGTCCTGAGGCAGCTTCCTGCAGCCCCGGGGACCCTGCAACATCTTTGAGGCTCGGAGGTCTCGGTGTCTGACTCCGGCTCAAGTGCAGCTGCAGCTCTAGAGGAAGCAATCCATACGACAGGGAAGCGAGGAGGCGGGGGTCGCGTCCGGCATGCCCACTGCAGGGGCTGGGAGAGCCACCACAGCAGTAGTGACAGAGCCAGGGAACAATGCCATCCTGTGATGAGCAGTCCTGTCTTTAACCCAAATGATGTGTCTGCAGAAACTGGTTGCATTTGCTACTTTGACAGGTGGACAATGTTTTAGTGTCTTAATTAGCATGTTGGGTAATTGCTGCCATTAATCTTGTTCTTTTTTTCCATGTTCATTGGCCATTTTGACTTCTCTATACCCATCTTCCTTATTGAAAAACATGATAGGAAACTTTTAGTTATTAAATTATGAAGACCTAATGCATGGCATGATGACTATTGTTAATACTACTGCATTATGTATTTGAAATTTGCTAATAGTGTAGATTTCAAGTATTCTTATAAAAATGTGGTGATGGATATGGTGATTAGCTTGATCCTGATAATCTTACAATGCATGTGTATATCAAAACATCATCTTGTACACCTTAAATACTCAACTTTTCTTTGTCAGTTATACTTCAATAAAGCTTGGAAAACACACACACACGCATTCACACACACAAAACAGACAACTGCAGAATTCCTCTGGTGGGCCTGGGCTGAGTCCTGGGGCTGTTTGTGCTCCTGGCCCTCTCTCTATCCTCAGATGGTGTGGTGCTGCTTCCCTCTGCCCTCCTCCTCTCTCTAAAGCCCTGTCCATCTGGCTCATACTCTTAGACTAGAGTGGAAACTGTGCCCTCCAAATCCATAGGAGTCTTGCCCTGTGTCTCCTCCCGACCCCATGGTGGGTGGGAGCAGTCTCTCTGCCCTTCTGCTCATCCACTCTTGTCTCCGTCTCTCCTGGTCATTCCTGCTGCCCACCATTCTCTCCTGGGCTCAGTGTGCTTTCTGCACATTTCCCCACATGTGTCCTTCACAGCCCCTCTGTGAATTCTGCATGTGTCCCCTGAGTGGACTCTGTAGTCCCTGCTCACCCCACACTCCCTCGCCCTGTGTCCTGAGCATAGATCTGCAGGTTACAGTGGCTGGTGAGCATCTCCACATTGTGACATTCTACTGGGACCTGGAGCATCTGCCCCTGTCAACAGCCTCAGCACAGAATCCCTGGCCATCCAGCTCCGATGGGGACATGGAACCTGCCTCTCCTTCCTGCCAGTCTCTTAGTTGTCTGTGCCTTCACCCTGTAGTGGTCTATTCAATCTGTAAGTCAAGCCGTTCTTGTTTCCCTATCTGTGGAGTCATTAATTCAATTCCCGCGAGCTCAGTGGCTGCGGTTTGATCATTCCCATCCATTCCTGGGCTTCTTCAGCCTTGTCCTGCACTGCCTTATTTCTTACAAGATGGTAGCATCATGGGGAGAATGGAATTCCTAGCTTTGTTTTTCTCCTTTCAAGCCACCATGATGGTCCCCAACACAGCTCCAATCCTACCTCTCACATATTCAAAAGCGTTAACATCTCCTAACTCACCCTGATTGTTTTCACATGTAACCCAAAGTCCCTGCACTCTGTCGCCTACTGACTTTCCAGCCTTTTTGGGATGATCTCTCGGTACAGCCCTTGGAATTCTCTCATTGTCTCTCTTCTCCAGCGTCTCAACAGCGTTTGCCATTGCTCACTGTTCCCTCCTCCTGACACACCCTCTTGGCCTCCAGGCCACATTCTCTCTCCTGGTTCTCCCCGCACTGGACACAGCTATGAGGCTCATTGTCCATGGAGGGCAATCGTGACTCAGGCCCTGGCTGTTGCTCTTTCTTACGTGGAGCTCCCTCTGGCTGCCTCATTTAGGACTTTGGATTTGTGAGCACCTGTGTGAAGCTGACACAGACATTGAAATATCTTTCTAGAGCTTTGTTCTCAGCTCCAGAAACACACAGCCAACTGTCTTCCTGAAGCTCCCATGTAGATGGCACCTGGGTCTTGCCGTAATAAAAATGGAACCTGAATCTGGAGGTCTAAGTCACATCTTGCTCTCATGCTCCTCCTGTTAGGGTATCACTGTGGAGACAACAAACCCTCATCTACTCCAGATGCAGTCTGTCTCCTCTGATTCTGCCTATCAGTGATTTCAGACACATCTGTCTTTATCCACAGCCAGTGTCTCAGTCGGAGCCGCAGCAGCCCTCTCCTGCATGGTGGAAATGGCCAGGAGGCCTCTCGGCGCTGGTCCTGTTACTTGCAAGCATCTCTCTGAACTGCATCTGGCCAGTGTGGCCTTTTTTAAAGCTTCATTGTGCCGCTGTCCTGCCTAAATCCTTCAATGGCTCTACATTCTTCTTTACATGCTTTCTTTTTTTTTTTCAGAACAAAGACTATATCCTTACCCGGCCCACAGCCCTCCCAATTCCGGCCACAACCTCTCATGAGGCTGATCTCACCATGAGCCCCTCTTCTAGGTGTCTGCATGTTGCTCTGTTTGCCCCCAGGACCATCCACTGCCTCTTTGGTCTGTTGGCATGTACTTGTCCTCCAGACCTTAGTTCAAAGGTGAGCTCCTCACAGAAGCTTTGCTGGAGGTCCCAGGAGCAGGGAATGTGTGTGTTCTCTCCTTTGAGGCACCTCCCACAGTGTTCATTTGCATGGCTTGTGTGATTATTTGGTGGATGACAGTTTTCCAAGTGCTGTGGGGGGTCGCACCTCCTTCTCCTGAACCACTAGTTGGGGGAATAAATGTCCCTTCTTCCAGCATGGTTTGACATCACACAGACACAGTTTGGTGGTCTTTAGCACAAGTCACTGGGCTTTGATAAACACCCTTCACCATGAGGGAAATGAGAGTCAGATGACTTAAGGATCGCCCCAAATCAGGTGGAAAATCTGGACGCTCCTGGTCGCAGGCCAGCAGGTCTTGGTGCCTTCAGATCCCTAGAGTATCCTAATTTGGCTACAGTTTTCTGTCTGCAGAAAGGCCCTGAAGGGAAGACGCCAGGCTGGAGCAAGAGTGACTCATCCTGGGACCTCATTGTGCCTGATTCACCCGGAGGAAGCCTTGCATGGACACCGCTAGCCTCTGGAGAGATTTCAGATCTTTGGGAACAGAGTAGGGTTCCTGTCTTTGTAATGAGCGAGTTACTGGCTCTCTTCTGCCCTGTTTGCCACCTTCCCTCTGTTTCTGTGGCTTCTTTTTTGGCAGGCCCTGAGCCTGGTGGACCCCATCACGACTTCTTTCTGTGAGTCTGATCTGTCCTGCATCCTGACTGCAGCTGTACCTGGCCCCAGAGCCCCACCTCCTAGCTGGCAGGCAGGATTCCTCCCCTAACCCATTAGGGCCTCGCCTCTGGAGGCAATTACTGCCTGGCCTGTGAAAATATATAAGGAGAATTGAAGAGCGATCATATTACATCCTTCATATTTTGCCAGCAATAAATCCAGTTCCTTTCCTCTCAGGTGGACTCTCAACTCTATAAATTAAGAGTCTACTTCTAAGGAGGAAGATTTCACAGGGCCCAAGGTTCTGTATGACCTGCTCGCATTTCAAGGGATGACCTAAAAGCTGGGGGATTTCAGAACTGCAGGAAGTCATGCCGAGAGATTGGTGGCTTTAGGATCTGTGTCCCACTCACAGCCCTCCCACCTCTCCTGTGCTTCCTGCCAGCTTGGACCTCAGGACCTCTCTAGATGCATTTAGGACTGTTTAGCAGGCAGGTGATGGGGAAGCACCCACAAGGATAGAGTTGGAAATAAGAAACAAGCTAAAGCCAGGGCTTTGGGAAATGGAGCTCACATCCCCAAAACATAGCATGCAGAACAATGTTTATGAATCTTATTGGGCATAAGACTCACCTGGAAGAGATAAAAATGCAGATTTCAAGGCCTCTCCCCAGAGAGTCTGCCTGAGTCTCAGGACCTGTGCTCTGGCCTTGGCTGTCTGACCTTCCCCATCCCTGGATTCTGCTTTTCTCTTAATCGAGTCCCCCATAATCTTTCCTGGTGATGTGTATCACGTTGGGGTCACCAGCTGAGATGCTGATCATCACCTGTGGAGGTCTGTCCTGCAGATCCTGACACAGCGACAAATGAATGAAATATACTCTCACACACCAGAGTACAGGGAATTCAAGTAGGCTAGGGAGGTCATCAGCTGCTCTCACAGGGTGATTGCAGCTAACTGACCATGACTCTCTGTTCCTCCTCACATTTATTCAGCATAGATTTAATAACAGAGGTTCTAAGTCAATATGCTTGTGGATAATTAACATGGTTAAAATAGTGGTTTTATGAATGATGAAAGGTCTTGGTTCCAGGGCCCAGAATAAACACCATTACTGGGTAATTTCCCTTTGACCTCCCATGAGAGGACCATCCAACACAAAGTTTACATGAGTAAAGAGAGTAGAGACAAAAGAAGTGAGGTAAAAGACTTAACTGGGGAAGCTTTTATTATCCTAATCTTCACTTCTATGACTTACTGCTCTAATGAAAGAACTGAGCCTGTTCGTTAAAACAGGTTGTGGGGGTGGACGCTCAGTGGCATCCCCTCCCTTTTGTGTTCATTCCGTCAGTGGACCTGCAGCTGAGGGTGCCCTTAGGTAGGCCAGGCAGAGACTCCGGTCCCTGACCAGGCATTCTAGCACCTCTCCTTGGATGTTACCCAGCTCAGAGCCCTGGGCAAGCTGTGGACAGAAGCTTGGTCTCCTGGGAGGAGGCCCCATAGTGAGCCTCTTCTCACGGACCATAGATCCTGGGTGGTGGTCCTGGTGGGGAGCACCAATTTGAGGGGTCAGGAAACAGTATGTGTTGGGGCCTTCCCATTTGAGGACACAGATTCACCCTATTTTGTTTGTTTCATGGATAGAGTGTCTGGAGACCCAGCGTGTCAAAGCACAGGGCACAGACCTCACCCTGAGTCAGGCAGAGCCCATGACAGCACTCCTGGGATGAGAGGTGGAGAGCGCAGAAGCCCACCCCAGCCTGCAGTGGCTGAGGACACTGGGTTTGGCACAGACATGGCTCCAGAATGGATCTCTGGTGTGTGTAGGAGGAGGAGGTGAAGGAGTGGGGGGCTGACTTTGCCTCACCTCTGCAGGAGGCTCAGCCGGCTCCTGGCTGGTATTAATGTGACACAGGCAAGGAGCACTTCCATCAATTGCTGATGTGTACAGGGGCAGTGGTATTTGCTCAGCCACCTTCTACTCCCTGTAAGGACAAGGCTCTTGGTGGTCACACTCGGATGGGCGTCAGACTCACCTGGCAGCGCTGAGAAATCCCTGGAGTCCCATCCACTCTGAGGACCCTGGGGCTTGGTGCTCCTTATGATCCTCCCAGGTGACTTGGACACACATCAAAGTCTGAGAACCACTGGCTGGACGACATGGAGTGTGTCAGGACAGGATGGTTCCCTGTGTGGACAGAATTGTTAATAGGCCAGCGGGAGGAGCCATGGACCCCAGTCACAATGTCTCTGTAAGGCCTGACCCAGAGTTTTCCACCCTGGTTGCCTGTTAAAATCAGCTGAGGAGTTTAAAGAAGATGCCTGACCTCTCCCCAGATAGTCTGCTTTCATTGGTGTGCAGTGGGGGGCCAGGCCTGGGTCCTGCTGAAGCTCTCTGAGTCTGTTGAATGTGCTGTCCTGGCTAATGAGAACTCTCAACCCACATGGACACTTGTTTTTATATTGGTTTTAGACTCTGTCTTTGCTCACAGGGGATGCTTGCAAAGACTACTCAGGATTGCTAAGCCCACATTTTTAGATTGAGAACCAGAAATCTTAAGAATGGTGACCATGTTCCATCCACGTGTATTGGAAAAAGGGTCTGTCATGGTTGGAATAGGATGTTTCTTACCCATTGGATTTTGCTTTCAGGTCAATGCCATTATACACACACAGAGACACACAAACACACACACACACAGCAGAGTGGGAGGCTGATTTGCGTAAAGGGACTAACTTCTGCAGAGCCTTGTCAAAGGGCTGAGAGCATTCACCTTCCTTAGGGAGAGGGTGGTGCGTGGGGTGGCTTGACTCATTTTATTTTTGTCGCCCTCTGACTTGGGGGTGACTTCTTCCCCAGGTCTGTGCCTAAAGGACCTGGGGAAGATGCATTTGGGAGCCACGGTCACACAGAGAGCTGCTGTTGTCAGAAACAATCTCAGGCCTTTGCAACCTGCTATTGTGCATGTTCATTCCCAAGGGCTCAGCCCCCCAGGAGTCGTAGGAGAACAAAGGCAGCAGTGCTTGCCATGCGAGGCAAACGTGCTTCAAGACCACAGAGGATGGGGATCTCCGCGGGGACCACCTGGAGCTGCCAACTGCCTGGCCCCACTGGAGACTCGGAGCTCTGCACACGCAACTGGCCTGCCCTGACCTGCCCCTGGGGCCACGCCCTCAGCATTTCCACTCAAGTGGACTCCCTTCCTTTACTGGCCTCAGAATTGAGAGGAGAGGTGCAAGTCTAAACAGGGAGCAGGAAGACAACATCCCAACGTCACCTAGTGACAGGGAGGGCTGTGCCACCAGGCATGGTGGGCACAGAGCCTACATTGGCCGAGCCCGCAGCGGGGTGCCCACGGGTGAAGTTCTGCTCATATGGCCTTATCTTTTCACACAAAGGTCCTGTGGGTACATGGCAATTTCCATAAATGACAGCTCAGGAGGATGGGAGAGTAGAGTCCAGCTTTAACTTAGCTTAAAATAATTAAACCAAACACACCAAATGCACACAAAAAACGTGCACTTGCTCCAAATAGTCCCCATTCCTGAGATGTTCTTGGATGGTACAGGCTGCCTGGCAGAATGTGACATGGTGACAAGGGATGCTCTGGAGAAATCCAAGCCATACCAGCTTCCACCCGGATGCTGTTTCAGTGTTCACCACCCGGGGACAGTGGCTGGAATACAGGGGCAGTGGCAAGGGCACCTGACTTCCCTGGGCTCTGCTGCCTCCACATTTGCAGCCTCAGAGCAGAGAACTGCCTGCCTTCCACTCTGCCCTGCCTGGAGAGCTGCGGCTGAGACAGCTGCTGAGCCTCACCAAGCACCCCCTTCTCAGGCCACCAATGGGCTGAGAATGTTTTCTGAGAATGTTTTCTGGATTAACAATTATTTTTAGATACCATTTCTTTTTCATGCTTTCATATAAAGCAAGACCATGTCATTATAACAATCTGCTACTGAAAATGTTTCTCACAAAGGTATCAGCCAGTGAATATTTTCTCCTGAAACAAGAATATGTGTTGAATAAATATAGAATGAAGTTTAATTTATGTTAGATTTTTATAAAGTATGTATCTCTTCAAATCCACATGTGTCCATGTTATTACTGCAGAATCTCAAATCATTAAGAAAAAATTACAAACTCCATTTATGTAAACATATTCTAACACAGTCCAACTTGTTTTGTTAAAGTCCTATTTGATATAGAAGGGGGACTATTTTCAGGGTTCACCACCCACCTACTCTTTAAAGACAAATATTACTCAAATATTAATGTTCTCCACCAGGTAGGCTAAGAAGAGCACAACTACAAAGTCTTTACTTTCAGTATTCCATGTCAATTATCTTATTTAATGAGTTTAAATTAATAACGGTTTAATTTAAGCATTCTCTTTTTACCATTTTAGTATAAACAAACATGACCATTGTTGGTTCTGAACATTTCTTGGCCAGAGAAGTCAACATTTCTTGACATCCAGCTCTCCTGAGCTGCTGTATTCCAAATTAAAAAGGAAGGATTTTAAAACAGGATTCCAAAGAAATTCTATGCTTCTTTTTTTCTATTTGAGTAATTGCTAATAAGATTAGATTAGTCAATGGTTAGACCTGAGACCAAATGGCAGTGAGGCTTATTTGAGCTCAATCTGGATGTTTTAGGCTCACGCACGGCATCCCCAGCCTGGTGAGAGGTGAACTTCTCTTTGCCACGAACGCATCCTCAGAGGTGGAGGTTATAATCAGGTCACTCAGTAAATGTCCAGCACCTCCTTGGTGCCAGGCTCACCATGCTGAGTCCTGGGGCTGCAGCCCTGAATGAGAATGCTGGGTTCCTGGCATCTCAGTACCTGCAGAACCATGCAGGAGGTGGAGAGAGCAAACGCAGAGCGGGTGAGTCACGGTGGGGCAGGAGAGTCAAGTGGTGCAGCCACAGAGGAGCAGACAAGGACTTGTTTAGACAGGGCTGTCAAAAAGACCTTGTTAAGGAGGTGGGCCTGGAACCAGTCATAACTGAGTGTGAAATCCCAGAGCTGAAAGTAACCTCAGGAGTCATAGGGTGTAACTACACTGGTCACAGATGCAGGGAGGTGCAGGACCAGAACAGAACCTCCTGTGGGAGAGGCAGAGCCACCTCAGGACCCAGGAGTCTGGGCTCCCAGTGCCATCCTGCCTTTTCCAGGAAGACTCGCCTATGGGTTCTACTGTATAAGGTAGATTCTGAGACCGAAGGACCTCTCCAATTCCTAGATAGTGGAATTCTGAAACTGAGAGCAAGGGGCATTTGCCACACATGGCAAATTTACCAGGTCATGAATCCTGTGATAGACTGAGTTTTCTGGATTAACAAATTACATCGATTCCTAGTCAGATGGATACCAAACCATCTTGACTTTCTACTGCATTGACTCAGCCAAGAAATGAGCTCACCTCCTGAGAGGTGGGTGGAGGCCTGCCAGAGGTTTATAGAAACCTTCTGAGGAGCTGCTCTGCTAAGGGTGAGCTTGGCGCTCCTTGCATCCCTGGGGCCTTCCCTCTGAAGAACACATTGCTGGAGAGGAGCCCTTGCTTTTAGTTCTCAGCTCTCAAGAGTAGGCGCTTTCCTCTGAGCCTGGAGTCTTGTCTTTGCCAATAAGGCCACTTATGGAGGCTTGGAAGTTGTGTGGATCTGGCTGGAGCAGCTGGTGTAGAGAAAACCCCCACCATCCAGGAGCCCTGGCTCCAGCAATAGTAGAGTGAAGGGTGAGGGGCAGTGAGAGGACCCCAGCCATCTTAGCTGAACTGCACCGAGGCTTCCTGCAGAACTGGGCTCCTCTTGCTAAGCTTGGGCTCCTTTCCACGTGTTCAAGGCTCTCCTTGGAGTCATGCCATCCAATTATGTGGCACTTGTGGGGCTGAGCTCAGGTCTGGAGTCTGCAGAGTTCAAGACGCCTTCACATGGGGTAGAGTCTAGATGTGGCATAAGGGACAGCTCACGCATGAGGTGCATTTGACCTTGAGAAGAGACCCAGAGGGGAGGAGGCTAGTCCAGTGCTGGGAGGACAGTCCTATGGAGCATTAGGAATATCAGCAGGTGAGTTTTATATCTGTTTTTCCCAACCACAGTTCAGGTCTGGAGCAGATTCAGTCCTGTTTGCACAGGGAGCTGATATTCTAATTGACAATGCATGGTGGGAAACAGGGAAGTGAGGGAAATTGTGTCAATGTTAGAGAGGCACAGTGTGGTGAAGAAGAGAAGGCAAGAGGATGTGATGCAGAATCACAGGTTCCAGACCATCCTGTTTCCATGGGAGCATTTCAGGTGAGAACCGGATGACATGAAAGTAAGCCAGGAGACACCAGGCAGGGACAGACTGGTCCCCAGGTACGAACAAGGTTGGAGCATTTGGGACTGCAAAGAATGCGGAATGTGGTGAGTGAGGTGGCCCTTTGTATCAGATGCATGCACGAGTGGCTGGAGTCATGTGTGTGTTTCAGTAGTGGGTACCACGGGCACACTAAGAAATCTGGGGTTTCTTCTGAGGGCCTGGGAAGCCACAGGTATAGCACTGAGCAGGGAGTGGTGGATTTATGTACGTGCTTATGAAATCATGCTGAGTGCTGGGTGGTGAATGCTTATAGGGGTAGAGGGCAAGGTTGGAATTATGAAGGCCACAGCTAAGAGCCAATTGCACAGCCAGGCTCATTGTGTTTTGACCTGGGAGGCACTGGGGATGAAGGAGACGTCTGAAGGATTTATTTCTACATACAATATGGATTAAGTAGATGGGTTTATTTGTAATGTAAATTAGACTCAGAAATCCAACTGGAGCCAATGGTGGATACTTGATGGAAGGCATATCTCAATTTCTCACATTCCATAGAAAAGCAATACAGTGGAAAGAGTATGGGATTTGGTGTCTCTCAGACAGGATTCCACTTGCAAGCCGTGTTATATAGGGCAGCTCACCACATCCTGGACCTACACAAGCCCCTCTGCCATGTGAAGAGTCAGATTTCCCCGCAGAGTCTCCATGGAGGGCCCCAGAGTGCACTCCCTGTTAGCCACGGATGCAATCAGGAGGAAGAGAAAGAGTTAAACGCTCCTGGCCGAGTGCTGTGGGCACTGTGAGATCAGAGCTGACAGCCCAGACTGTGAATGCAGCCCTCACCAGAGCCATGTGTGTGGCAGGGAGCTCTTACTAAATTACAAAAATACCTAACAGGAGAGTTTCTTGGTGTTTTAAAAATCAATGCCCAGTTTTTGTTTTGTTTTTAAAATAGTGTTTTCAGAGATAAGAGTATTAAGTTTAGTCAAAATTTATGATATCGTTTGAAAGCTGTTGTGACATACAGAAAATTAGCTGAGCCTGTAGGTGATTAAAACAGTCAAGCTGACCTACGTGTCATTTCAATGCACAGCAAGGAGGTACCTTCAGCTTAGAAAATTGCTGGCATCAACACAAACAAATCCAGTTCTTTGACACGAGAATTTTCATATTTTGGATTTATGATCAGAAATAGCTGAGTCCTGAAATACTGATAAAATGACCAGCCCCGTTCACACTCAATACCTGAAAGTTCTGTCGGGGTGACCAGGAATCGTGGATGTAAATGAAGCCTGAGACTTCTCTGGTTCTGGCATGAAAGAATTTTCCAAAACCATGCAGATGCTGGGGGCTTAGAAATTTGATATCAGTGCAGACAAACGCGTTCTTGACAAGAATGTAGATGAGTTTGCACTGAATTTCAGAATACTTACCTCCAGATTTACAAGAGATTAAATAATTCTTTGAAATGGATTATCAGGCACTTTATTTAGGCTACTCATGGGAGCTACACTGGCAAGGGAGGTCGCAGTTTCTGACTTGCCTTTTTTCTAAGCTGACTTGTATACATGCAGAGAATGCATTTAACTAGCGGGATCCCAATTCTCTATATTGGGGCATTTTTCTTTATATTTTTTACCTTTTAATAAAATAGATCTTTAGAAATCAGAATTCCTGAGGTTCCAGTACTGTCAAATTTGGGTTCTGAGGAATGCTGAAGTTTCAACTTGCCTTTTTCAAATGGATGGCGCGTGAATTGTCTGAACTCTTGTTCCTCTCATTCGGGTTCTCCCTCTGTGAAGCACAGGCAATGGCACTCTCTCCTTTTAAAATCATTAAGGTTTGGGAAAGGTTTTTAGAGTAGCCAAATCATTGAATACCCTTAGGTAAAATGTGCTCTCAGACTGTATTTCTGCCCATGGGAATGAAGATTAGTCCCTTCATTTTTTTTGTTTTGTTTTGTTTTCCTTAGTTGTAATGGCCACAGGGAGATTCCACTAAAATAAGAGTTTTTTTTAAAATAGTGCTGTTCATGGGTGTTCTGTTTTGATTGCTTCTCTTCTAACTCTAGGGTAAGTTTCAGACTCTGGTTCCTACAAGACTAGGCAACTTCGGTCGTGTCCTGCTCAGAGGAGGCATCTCACACCGGCTGGTCTTGTGGATAATCGCACGACTGGTCATGAGAAATGCTACGGTGTGGCCTGTCACAGGAGCCGACGTCACACATATTTAAGGCTGACACGCATCTGGAGCTTGGATAGGGCTGTGCTTACGTCTGCCTTTCACAGAAGTTGGTATTCCTCTCATCTTTTATTTCAGCAGTTACAGTTAAACTACACCTTGACAAACTATGCGTGTATATTCTCCCCAGTCCCTGGCCCACCTCCCTCAGCAATCCTCCCACAGAGATGAAAGCCGGGCTGTGAAACAAGAAATGGGCTGTTATAAAACTGTGTGTTATACTCACAGCATGTAACAGTTGAAGGCGCGTTTACGTAGCTGAGGAGACAGAAACACAAGTCTTCCCACTCTAGAGTTTACCTGACTCCCTTCAGAACTAAGGGTAGAGCCTTATGTCACAAGGTACCCCTCAACCTTAGTCATGGGGAGCTAAAGAGGAAGAGAAAAAGTTAAACCCTCCTTTTGATGAAGTCCACATGCTAAAAAAAAAAAATGAATGTCACAAACACTTCCTTTTTTTTTTTCAGATGGAGTCTTGTTCTGTCACCAGGCTGGAGTGCAGTGGTGCGATCTCAGCTCACTACAATCTCTACCTCCTGGGTTCAAGCAATTCTCCTGCCTCAGTCTCCTGAGTAGATGAGATTACAGGCATATGCCCCCATATCTAGCTAATTTATATATTTTTAGTGCAGATGGGATTTCACCATGTTGGTCAGGATGGTCTCAATCTCCTGACCTCATGATCCACCCGTCTTGGTCTCCCAAAGTGCTGGGATTACAGGCGTGAGCCACTGAGCCTGGCCCCGCTTCCGGTTGCTAAATGCTGTGAGCGAACAATTTCCAAGTCTTTGTCCATGCCGTGGTTCTTCCGTTTTAGGGACTCAGCAGCAAGAAGGCCTCTGTACCTAAGGCCTTGATGGAGGGAGTGTGGGACATCCTGGGTGACTCTGCCATCCTCTCTTCTCGACTCCTTTGCTTCAGGCCACCTCCTGCTGTCGCCCCTTTGGCTCCAGCCCTGTGGGCTACTGGAGCACCCTGGCTCGGAGATTTGCAGTAGGGTGGGTGAAGCTGAGGTCTTTGTTTCTGCCTGATTCCGGGTTTCCCCTTCCTGCCTCCCCCTTTCTCCTCTTCCTCCATTCCCTCCTTCTCCTTTACCATTTCTTTCTCCTTCACCAGTCAGTGAGTGCCAGCCATGTGCTAGGACCCACTTAGATCCTGAGGGTCTTGAGATGACCCCCTCCTTCCAGGAGAACCTTGCACCCTTAAAGAGTGAGGCTGATTCAATTTGGGCTATGCGGAAATTAGGACACATGGGGAAATCTGGCTGCAGTGGGTCCACCCGTCAGTGTTTCGGTAGGTCCCCCTCTTCGGTATAGGGCTGGGTGGCGAAGGGCCCAGTGAAGCCCAGGGCCACAAGTTCCTCCTTCAAGTTGCATCTGCACACCTGCAGCATTTAGTGGCATTTCTGATAACTCACTGTGTAAGGCTGTTTTGGGCTTGCGGCAGGATTTCTCCCCTGGTTTCTTACATAAGAATGTCATCCATCGCCCCATGCAGGAGCAGAAACGGAGAGATGAGAGGCCAGGGTGGGTCTGAGGCTGTTCTCCAGTCACTTCAGGCTTGGCTCGCAGCCCGACTTCCTGCCCTACAGCCTCCTGCCCCTGCCGCCAGAACGGCTGAGCCTGCTGATGACAAAGCCACAGCTCACAGGCTGACAATTTTGTCTGGACTTCTATCAAGGCCGGGACTGCAGTCAATAGCACATGCAGGAAATTTTAAAAGATCAAGAGCAGCTAACAACAAAATCCACTCTGGGATGTTTTTAACCAAACAATCGAGGATTCAGTGCTTTCCGGGGGTGAGGACCAAAGCAGAGCAGGACCGGCGGCCAGCATCACCTCTTCCATCTTCCGTCTGTCCTGAGCCACGAAGGACAGCCTAAAAATAGTGCCTGGACCTCACACCATCAGTGCTTTTGTTACTTACCCTCTTTGGTCTTTTGAAAAACATATTTATCGGGACTGAGAGTCTTCCATCATTTGTATTTATAGAGTTCTTTTTTTCTGAAGTTGTGAACGTGCCTATTCTCATTTCTGGGAAGTCAGTGGCAGGACTTTGGTGGTGAGGGGAACGTGGCTTCCACTGGGTTTTGGAGGGAGGTGGTGGAAGAGTGAGGTGAGAGCACCAGGCATCTGGGGTTGGAGCCCGTGTGGGCTCAGTGGCTCTCTGACTCTTCCTAAGAAAGAACAGTGCCCTCCTTGCCCTTCTCTACCCAAAGCCCCCCCAGGCTTCTCTGAATCACACCTTTCCTAGGAGGCCTTCTGGGAAGCTGAGCCAGGTCCATGGTGCCTCTTGCTCCTCCTTCAAGTCACACTCACAGGTGCCTATCTCTGGCACGTCTCGGGAGGGCAGGGGCCGAGCCTCTGCTCTGTTCCAGATGCCCACAGCCCCTGGTTGACACAGTCTGCAAGCTTGAGTGGAGGGGGCGCCTAGTCCCCAGCACTAAACGGCAATTCAGACCTAAATCCCAAAGGAGACAGCCGCCAAGGGCAGCTGACCCACAGCCCTCGCAGACTGCAAGCTGTGGCTTTCGAGGCCAGCTTTCTCCTTGCCGGCTTTCCTGTGGGCTCTGGCCAGTCTTGTCATTTTGCTATGTTTCAGTTCATTCATCTGAATTGTGGTAAGATATTGCACAGAGAATTGTGAGTGGTTACAAAGAGACCCAGAGAAGTTGTCTCCCAAAACTGGAAGTTCCATGGACCTGGAATAACCATGCTGTGCCCATCTTCCTCATGGAGCGACAGAGTGAAAAGCCACGGCTGAGTGGGATTGGCCCATCATTGGTACTGGCTTCAGAACACTGACCACAGCCAGGGGAGGGTGGCTGGCCCAGGAGGCAGGTCACACCTGGCTCTACACACTCCCAGCTTTCCTTTAGGAAAAGCCCGTGGCCCGGTGGGTAGAAATCAAGTGTGACTTGGATGGGTCACCTGAAGCAGAGGATCCAATCTCAGTCCCAGGCGCCTCCACTTCCTGGTGCTGGACAACTGCATTGCCCCAGGCGCCCCTAGCAGATGAGTGTCCAGCTGTGCAGGCCGCAGCCAGGTGACTCGGGTGTCTGTGATCTGCTCTCACTTTCTGAGCTGATCCCCACATGGCTGCGAAGACCTCGCCCCACGGCCCATGCATCCCGCTTGCTGATGCCGCTTCCCTAGTGGTGGCATGGAAATCATGAAAGGCTAGGTGAACATTTCCTGTGGGAGACGGAGTTGCAGGCATTCTCAGAAAAGGAGGGCACTTTGGAAAGGGCTGGAGATGAAACTGCTAAGTGGGATGGAAAGCCAGTCTCCACAGAGACGCGGGAGGGATGTCAGCATGGAGGAGAGAAGGGATCAGGCCCGCTCCCGACACCACAGGCTGCCAAGAGGCCGGACACAGGGCAGAATAAGGAAACGCTCGTGTGGGCATTGGGGTTTGTCCTCACTTGCTTCATGCTGCTGCTTCCCACCTTAATTGCTTCATAAATCTTGAACAATTTATGAACCTCCCTGAGCCCCAGTTTTGTCATCCGTAAGATGGCTGTTAAATTACATACCTCTCCAGCAATAAGCAGATTTAATGAGAAAAAACATATAAAGAATAACAACAAATATCATAAAACACCTTGGAGTATTTTTAAGGAAAATCAGTGTGATTGCAATCAAGAAAATTCCAAAACTTTACTGGCATATAAAATGCACACAAAAAAATCACATACACATTTGAACAATATCATGTTCCTGAATAAGAAAATGACTGTTGTGGAAATATCAGTTGCTCCCAGATTAATGCACAAATTTAGTGTAGGTCATTTCAATATCCTTGTGGCTATTTTAGAAACAACCAATTCTGAAGTTACTGTGAAAATAATTATGTGAGTGTTTAACATAGATCTTTGAATAAAAAGATTGGGTTTTATCATTGTTAAACAATGTTATCGGGATACAGTGCTCAAAATAAATTTGGTCATTGTTCGAGAATAGACAAATCAATGAAACAGAATAAATAATCCAAAGACTTTGGCTCATGAACAAATGAGCTGTATGGCTCATAAGGCAACACAAAAACTCATAATTTAAAGTATTATCCACAAATCACATGGTAATAACCTGCTTGCAGTTGGGGACAAAGAGTGATTTGGTTCTAAATGAAAAGCAAATTTCAGATTAACTTAAAAGTTAAAATACAGGGCAACCACAGGCAGATGAAAGAAAAAAAAGTCATCAAGTGCTTGGAGTATGGGTCTGTCCTCCATTCTGTGGCTCATAAACTCAATTTTCTTAACCATCCCAGGGTTGAGTGAACCCCTGTACACTGATTTGAGCTGTCCAAATTCATAAAACCAACGTCTAAAATATAATGACTAATTAACTGACAGCAAATCAAGGATCTGCCTGGGGGTCCTCTTCCCACACACACAGGGCGCTATGGTGAGTGTGGCATCAGAGTGGGGAGAGATCTGCAAGCTGCTGCACCCATCTGTCAAGCCTGAATTGCTGCACACACTCAGATCCAGCCGATGGCATTGCATTCCTTTCTTTTCCCCGAGGTCACAACACTGCCCCAGTGTTGGTGGACAGGCAAATATCCACACTGCAAGGTCAGCTCACCCTTAGAATCATGTGTGAAGTCCAGGAAGTGTCTGGTGAGCCTCCCTCTCTCCAGGAGGAGGGCTCTGGTCCTTCAGTTCACTGGTGTTATGGCTGCAGGCCAGCACTGGGCCCCAGCAGGCAAAGGGAGGCTTTGGGGCACTCCCCTCTTCTGACACCATGGTCAAGAGTGCCCCCCACCAGCTCCTGTGGTGCAGTGTCATGCTTTTCTCTGTAGCTCCCTTCCCAGCCATAACTCTGAAGGCCTTGTCCCACTGGAGAACGTGTGTCCAGGTGGGCTTGGTACCCAGCCTCCTGGGGCCAGTCACCCTCACCCCTCTCTCAGACACAACTTGTCCTTTTCCAACTCTTTAGTGCAATAGGGTGCATCTATCTGGTCCCTCTGAAAGAGAAAGGCCTGCCCGTTGCCAAGCCATCCAGAGGAGTGGACTGTGCAATTTGCTTTCTGAAATAAGACAGTTTGAGAGTGAGATGGGGGGTGGGGGGAGTTGTTACTGATGATGTTGGGAAAATAGTAGCAGACCAGTGCTACCCAGCATCCCCCAAACACTCTAACTGGTACGGCCACTTTTTCTGGATTCCTTGTGCCAGCCCACCCTCTTCTGATGGTCACATTCCTCAGCTACTTTGGTGCCTTCAACACTATTTCATTTTTGGCCGCCTCTACCCCTTCAGGGTAACTTCTCAAATTGCTGTACTCACTGATTATGGGTCGGCTGTTACAGCAGAACTCTCAAAGGAAATCTTATTTCCAAGTTCCTGAGGGCATCTTAGGATGCTTGTCCACTCACTTCCTCTCCCTTGCCCCTTACTCTCCTACCCAGTTGGGGAAATTTATCTTAACAAAACAATCTGAAATTGTACTATTATTTAAAATAATGCAGAAATAAAGCCCCAAGAGCAATGCAAATATTCAACAATAAGGAACTATCCAAGTAAAACTGACATGTGTTGATGATTGGTACATGTTTAGGAAGGTGATGATTTTGGAGAATTTAGCAACATGGAAATTGCATATCCTGTAATGGTTAAGGAAAAATTAGGAAGGAGTGATACAGTGGTAACACTTTGACTATAATTATATAAAAATAATAACAAGTACATTAAGATGTGGGGGTGAAAACACTTGCCAGTGTGTAACAATAACTTTGTTTCAATTATGGGATTAGGGCTGATTTTTTCTCTCTTACTGTTCTCCAATTTTTCTGGAATGTGGTTCATATAATGGAAACAATGCTCTCTCCCTCCCCTTCTGCAGGAATTAAATGAGGTAATGATTATAAAGTACCTTTTCCTTTGTTTCTCCTCTCTCCATAACCTCATTGTGTCTTGATAACCTTGTCCTGAAAAAGAGGGAGAATGGGGTTTGGTTGGATTCTCTTGTTCCCAGGGCAAGGCTTTCTCTAGTTTTCACCCTTGTCCTTGAACTGTGTCAAACTTGGGCCACAAATGAAATACCCTTGACAACCCCAGTGGACTTATCTTGGGGATCTCTTGCACCTGCAAACTGAAGGCCTCCGTATCCCTTCCACAAAAACTTCAACCCTGTCAAAAACAGCTTTGTTATGTGAAGTTTTATTGGGAAAGGAAGTGTCCCAAGAATTTTCTATAGCTGAGCCTGTTAAAAAGTTCACTCTATGTCTCTGACACTCGCTCAGGTTTCTAGCCGCCTTGGTGGTCCCGGCTTTCTCTGCGTGTTGAACTGTGATTCCCTGCTCAGGTCTGAAGCAATTCTGGATTTTGCCTCATCTCGATGCATGTGTTTCACTTCTTCAATTTTACTTTGTTTTTTCTAGACCACTTGCGAAGAGGAAAGTGATTCCTCTTATGAATGAAACATCTTTCCACCCTAACTAATGAAAGCATCCCCAGTACCATCCGTCCCAGGCCAGTCCTGGAGAAACGAATAGCCCTCGGCAGTGCTGGGCGTGGGTCTGAGCTGCGGCGAGGCCAGCATTCTGCTCCCGAGGGAATCCTGAACAAGGCTCTCATATTTTCTTCCATGAGCCAACTCAACCCAGAAAACTGCCCTTAGAAACATTTCCTATGTCTTAGGTAAACCCTATATTCAGTATTCTAAAGAGACTTGGAAATACATCACCGATATTTATTTCAGCATCACTTGTTAATATTGGACTATTGAACATGTTCTGATGTCCATTAAGTGGGATCTGGCTTAATAAAGTATGGTCCATCTAACAAGGCCCAGGGCAGTGTGTTCAGTGAGGTCTCATTTGTATTAAAATGTACTTATATATGTATGCAACTAGATTGCATAGAATATTTCTGCAAAGATAGAGAAGGAAACAGTAACATTCTCCTCTGAGGAAGACAAAGAGAGGTGCTGAAAGGCAGAGGAGGGAAGACCAACTATTTTATTTTATTTTGTATTTCTTTGGTTTCTTTGAATTTTGTATTAATGTATATAGGTATATATATATGTGTGTGTGTGTGTATTTTTATTTACTAGGAAAGAAATGGAAACCTATAACTAGTGGGCATGCTAAGAGACCTTTCCATTTGGGTGAATTACCTCTTAGGATTACAGTTTTCTCATTTTCGTCTCTCTCCATTAGAAAGGGAAATAATTTCCATGGCTGTATCTTTGGCAAGCCCTCTCACCCTACTTTATAAAATCGCTTCAGGCTGCTGCAAACATATTCAAGGTTTGCTTTCGTTATTTTTCAGCTCCTCACTCTCTTGAGAGCCACTTAAAAAATTTTCTGGCTAGGAATTCACCCCACCCCTCCTGGCCCCACCTGTAAAGGACGGCAAGAAATCGAAAACATTATTACTGAAAAACTGATTTTTGATGAGAATGTAAGACGTAATATTTATATAAACTTTAGCTCTTGCAAGAGGTGCCTTGAGTATGCTGGGTGTCAAACGATAAGGAGGGTGCAGCTTTCAGCAGCTGAGTGAAGTGATCTAAAATCGCTCACACACGGATGGATGAATTAATAAGTGGAGGGTGTAAATTATGAGTCGCTCCTCCACACTCAGGTGCAAGAAGCATCACATTTCTTTATTTTTCCAAATCAAATTACACCTGGCTCCGAGCATCTGCTCCCTAGGGTTAAGGGGAAACACAATGCTCGCTGTTCTCAGGGTTCCTTCCTCTTCAATTAGATCATGCACAGATCCCGGGGCCCAAGAGCCCTGGAAATGGGCAGGAGCTGCTCCTCAGCCTGCGATCGGCATCGCAGCTACTGCATGTCCTCTTGGCTTCATGATTCCACCATCTTTAGGGCTCTGCAGCTCAAGGGTCACAGAAATGCCACTCAGACCACGTTGTTCTTGGCCAGAAGGAGGGTTTGCTGCTTGGCTCAGAAGCAACAGAGGGTAGTTTCAAGTTTCCATGCAGCTGTGAAGGACTGACTCCACACTCTCCAAAGCCCTAGCTGCCCCCAGACCTTGGTTTCAATAGGAACAGGTTCCCAGAGCTCATGCCCACACACCTGGGGCATCTTCCCAGTCTTGAAAACACCATTCTCCCTCTTCTGCTTGTACACAAACACAGAGACTTCTCTGGATGGTTTAGCTTTCCAGAGCAAAATCTTGAGTCTTCAGGGCTGTGATCCACTTCCTGGAATTTGGGAACTGGTGCTCAGGGTCTCAAGAAAACAGTGCCTGCTTCTCTAAGTGGCACGTTGAAGCTTTCCCTGGTGAGCTGAGGGTAGCAGTACCGACTGCATAAATGCCCATGTTGTGTCCCCCGCTGAACCGCCTTCGTACACTCATCTCTCTAAACACAAACATAGCGGCTGCAGTTCTGTTCTCCAGCTCTCACCAGGAAAGGGAAAAATGGGCAGTCTCTAGCCTGCATTCATCTCCCTCTGCTGGTTCTCTAAGCTCAGCCACCCTGAGCCTCGTGGTGACTATGGTTCCTAAGCTTCCGCGCTTGCAGGCTAGCCTGCAAACAGCAGCTTTGATGCCTCACCCATGGGGCAGTGGCTCCCCTTAACTGGACTTGTTGCGTATGCCCCAGAGAACGTGGATGCAGGAGGACACTTTGGAAGCTTTCATTCAGTGCTTTGTAATATATCGTTCCACCTGAGGTTCGCAGTCTACAGAAAAGTGATTCTGAAACACTGTGTTACAAGATCCTTTATGGGTTCCTTCAAAAACACAGTCTGAGAGATTGAGACAGTTAGCTGCCTGAGAGTAACTGAGTGGACCCATAGTGGATTCCAACATAGCTGGTCCCTTGAGCTGTCATTGAGAAATAATCCTTCCAAAAAGACAAGTCCACCTGAGATTTACCGTGTCACCTGAAATCCACACTCACTTTTCCAATGGTATATTAGTTACCAGACAAGGGAAAGCAGGGCCTTG